ATCTAGGAAAAAAAACAAAGAAAGAAATTAAAGAAAAAATTAACTAAAAAAGAAACAATGGCAAATAGTAAGTAAAATTAAAAGAGAAAGAAAATATAAAAGAAAAAACAAAACTTAAAAAAAATTAAAGAAAAATTATTGTTTTCTTTTTTTCAGTTATTTTTTGTTAAGAAACTAAAAAAGAAATTAAAGAAAGAAGCAATAAAATTAAAAAATGAAGAAAAGGAAAAAACTAAATAGTAGGGAAAAGGAAGAAATACAAACAAGAAAATAAAGAAATGAAGGAAAAACTTAGAAATATAAAAAAGTAAAAAGAAGAAGGAAACCAAGAAAAAATAAAAGAAAAAGATGATTAACAGTCTAAAGAAAATGAGGGAAGAGAGAAAAATTTCAAACAGAAAAAATAAAGTAGAAAAAGAAATTGAGGAAAATCAGAATGTGAGGAAGAAAAGTAAAAGAAAAAAATAAGAATGAAAGAGAATAAAAAAAGAAAAGAAAAAAGGAAATTAAAGATAAAAGATTAGGCATTAAAAGCAGAAAAGAAAGAAGAAGAAGAAGAAGAAATAAAGAAAGATAACTAAGAAGGAAAAATAAAGAAAAAAAGAAAAAAGAGAAAAAAACAAATTAAAAAGAGGAAAGAAACAAAAAAATGAATAGAAATTAGTGAAAGAAATCCATAAAAGAAAATAATAAAAGAAAAAAACTTAATAGCTAAAAGAAAATTAAAGAAAAAAGAAGAAACTCAAAAAGGAAAAAAACAGAGGAAAAATAGTTAAAGAAGAAAGAAGGAATCTAAGGAAGAAACTGGAAATGAGAAATAAAAAAAAGAAACTAAGAAAAAATAAAAGAAGAAAATGAAAAAAGAATAAGATTAAACTAATAAAGAAAAATCCAAGAATAAAGAATAAAAATAAAGAAATAAGAGAGGAAAATAAAAAATAACATCGGAAAATAAAAAAAGAAGCTACAAAAAAGAAAAAGAGAAAAAGCAGCGTAAAGAAAGTTAACAAGAAAGAAGAAGAAAAAAAGAAGAAAGGAAAAAGGAAACAAAGCCCAGAAAAATTTAGTAAAAGAAAGAAAAATGATTTTAAAAGAAAGAAAAATAATTTTAAAATAAAATCAAAAAAGAAAAAAGAGAGGAAGAAGAAAAAAGAATGAAAGAAATTCAAATATAAAGAAAATTAAACAAAATAAGTGGAAAAGTAGAAAGAAATAAGTAGGAAATTCAGAAAGGAAGAAAGAAAAAAAGTCCAGAAAAATTTAAGAAAAAAAGAAACATAATTATGAAATAAAAACAATAAGAAAAGAAAAGAGAGAAAGGAAGACAAAAGAAAAAGAAAATAAAAGAATAAAAAAAAATACAAACCGAATAAAAAAATTAACAAAAATCGAAAACTCACTTTTAAAAATACAAAAATATTTATCCTCAATAAATAGTCCTCATAATATTCCCGAATTAAAATCGACAAAATATTAATAGCAAAATATCGCTCCAACGATATTTGAAGACACTAATAATCAAACAAGGTGTAATCTATATTTTTTCCCCTACAAAAAAAAAAATTTTCCCCATCTCCCTCCAGGAATTAATAACTCAGATTAAAAAAAAACTACCGAGTATCACTTTACGTAATTTTAAAATATACGGGATTAAAAATTGACGATAGATAATGTAAAAATTCACCCCAGAACGGGGGTAAGGACCTTTCTCTCGTTTTTTTTTTTCAGAACAAAAAAAAGGGGAGAGAGAGAGAGAGAAAGAGAGACGAGATGGACGTTATACAATTCTGTCTCTCCTATCACGTGTGCGAGTGTTTGTGTGTATAATGATCAAATATAGAAATTCTCCTATAATCTGTATAATCGTTTGGCATCGTTGCTCATCAATCATACTTCACAATAAAGTTAATACGAAAAGGTAGACCTCATCGAGTATACAATATGTCGAAGTCAGTATAAAACTTGAATGTATCCAAGCATGCGCCATATCATTCGCCACTATATATATATAATCACTTGGGACATACATCGAACAATGTATAATATGTATACATAAAATACATCAGCTTGCAGTTTTTTCTTTTTTTTTTGGACGTACCTTATCGTTTTTATGCCTGTATCAAAACACTGGCGTGGAAACGAGATTCCCTTTCAATGGACTGTGGAAATTTGCACTTATTTTAGAATTTTTGTTTTTCTGAAAGGGTTTTTTTTTCATTCAACTCTACACTTATTTTTATACTTATTTTTATTTAATTCTTTACTTTATTTTTATTTCGTTCGGAATAATTATATTTCGATTACTGTAATTCAATTTACTTTACTTTAATTCAATTTCGTTTCTTACAATTCAATTTAGTTTGCTTTCAATCAATTTAGTTTATTTTAATTCAATTTTATTTATTTTAATTCAATATTTAAAAAAAAATTAAATTTTCAATTGATTTAAAGTAAATTAAACGAATTTGAATTAAAATTTAATTCCGATTACTGTAATTCAATTTAGTTTACTTTAATTCAATTTACTTTATTTTAATTCAATTTTCTTTATTTTAATTCGATATTCTTTATTGTAATTCAAAAATTTCAAAAAATCCAATTTGGAATTGAATTAAAGTAAACAAAATTGAAAAAAAATCGAATTGAATTGAAGTATTAAACTGAACGAATGTGAATAAAAAATCAAATACGTTAAATTTACTTTAATTTAGTTTAGTTTAATTCAATTTTCTTTATTTTAATTCAATATTTAAAAAAAATTAAATTTTCAATTGAATTAAACTTAAAGTAAATTAAACGAATTTGAATTAAAATTTAATTCCGATTACTGTAATTCAATTTAGTTTACTTTAATTCAATTTACTTTATTTTAATTCAATATTCTTTATTGTAATTCAAAATTTTCAAAAAATCCAATTTGTAATTGAATTAAAGTTAACAAAATCGAATTGAAGTATTAAACTGAACGAATGTGAATAAAAAATCAAATACGTTAAGTTTACTTCAATTTAGTTTAGTTTAATTCAATTTTCTTTATTTTAATTCAATATTTAAAAAAAATTAAATTTTCAATTGAATTAAAGTAAATTAAACGAATTTGAATTAAAATTTAATTCCGATTACTGTATAATTCAATTTAGTTTTCTTTAATTCAATTTACTTTATTTTAATTCAATTTTCTTGATTTTAATTCGATATTCTTTATTGTAATTCAAAATTTTCAAAAAATCCAACTTGTAATTGAATTAAAGTAGGTAAACTGAACGAATTTGAAATAAAATTCAATTTTGATTACTGTAATTCAGTTTAGTTTACGTTAATTCTATTTAATTTATTTTCATTTAATTTTCTTTATTTTAATTATATTTTTCTTATTATAATTCAAAATTTTCAATAAAAATCCAATTTTCAATTGAATTAAAGTAAACGAAATCGGATTAAACTGAACGAATTTGAATTCAAAATTAATTACGTTAAATTCAATTTCGTTTACTTTAATTCAAGTTAATTTATTTTAATTTAATTTCCTTCATTTAATCCTTCATTTAATCTAAATGTAAAGTCCTTAATAATGAATTATTTTTAGTCATAAATTAAGAAAGTTGAAACTTATTTCCATTAATATTGGCAATAAATTAAGAGTGTTGTAATTTATTTGTCTTCTTTTTAGTATTAAATTTAGAGAATTAAAATTTATTTTCAATAAAGCAGTGTCTTAATTTATGATCTATTTCATAGAATTAAAATTTATTTTAATTAAATTTAGTGTCTTAATTAATTGAAATGAAAATTAGAACTTATTCAAAAGAATAAAAATTTATTTTGATAAAATTCAGTGAGTTAATTTAAAGTTAATCAAAGACTTGTGTCCCTTTAAGTAAATTGAGTGTAAAATTAAGAGAACTAAAGTTCTTTCTAATCAAATCTGGTATTAAATTAAAAAAGTAGAGTTTATTACAATGAAAGTCTGGTATTAAAATAAGACCATTGAAGCTTAATTCAAAGAAATAATTTTTCTAGATTTTTAATTAAGATCAGTTTTAATTTCAAGGAGCAACATAATTTGGGACTTAACTTAAAATAAGTTTTCCTCTCAATTGTATAAAAAAAAATTCATCATTGTAAAAAATTTTACTTTCAGCCCACGTTTGACTAAAATCATTAGGAAACATCACAACCATTTTTGATTTAAGTTCATCTTAAAAGTAGGACTTTCAGACTTAAAATTCACTTAATCTGGCTTTAAGCTAAAAATAATTTATTTTTCACTTATTTTTGTATTAAAATGAAATAAATGATTTCAGACTTTGTTTTTTCTGTGTAAAATAGTTTGTTTCATCTGTATACCAAAACAATTGAAAAGTAGTATTTTTAAGCTTAAAACTAGATTAAGCGAATTTCAGGACTTGAAGTCATACTTTCAATGCTAAAATTCAGTCAAAAATGGTTCTAATGTTTTCTAATGATTTGACACAAAAGCGGGCTGAAAGTAAGCTCTATTTTTTGTGTATATCTCAAATTAATTATTCCCAAACAGAAAATCCATGGTGATAAAAATAAATTTAGTTAGAAATGAATTCCATTCATAGATAAAAATCGTAAAACAAATATAAAAAAAAATTCGACAGCTTTTACGCCATTGCAATAAGTCTTTAGTGTGGGTTAGCCGCAACTGTCAATGAGGAAAAAGAATTAAACAGTAGTCGAGACCCAGTGTTCGTAAACTGATCGATGGGTTCGACATTATATGACACCGATAGTGTGAGATACAATATACATATACAAATATATAAAACAGAAAAATCGTTACAAACACAAAAACCCGGTAGCGAATCCCTTCTCCTTAAATCATATAATATACATGATCCCCATATATAAACACAAGTTTCACGTGGGAATAGAAAATTTCCAGTTTCAATTTTATTACGTAGGCTGACCGATTGCAAACGAGACAAATTTCTAAGCAAAAACCATAGATTGTAAATTATTTGCCAACATACCTTGAATCCCGTCAGGGTTAATATATGCCATAAAGGATAGCTTTCTGCCAGATAAAGTAAGTCTCGCCTCTTTTTTTTTCAATTCCTTCTCCTCGGTACTCCGCGCTGCACATATTTGCTGACACTGTAAATCAGATCATGACAAGAGTGTGTTAAAATTAATTCAATATAAATAATATATATAGAGAGAGAGGAGAAAAAAAAACTTGCACAAGAATGTCATTTTTCTTTAGGAATGAAAACTAACTATATATATCAATTAAAAAAAAGCAAAAAAAAAATACCGCTGGCAATTTTATTAATGAATTGTATCTAATATCGAAAAAAACATTCAATGTATGTATCTTTAAATGGTTATATTATTGCAACAGTGATTTATTTCAAATCGATCGTTTCGTCTCTGTCAATTTCAAAGCGATTAAATTTTTCACCGAGAGAGAATTAAAAGAGTAGAGAGCGAGAGAGAGAAAAAACTATTGAGAACGTTTGACAATCGTTTTAGATCGGGGATCTTTCATTATGAAACATATAAACGTTTCTATGCTCATAAATATCGAATTATAGCAAAAAGCATTCAAAAAAATGGGGGGTTTGGCGAAACTAATTTTTTGTTCCCCCGTAACCCTTTTTTTTGAAATTTCTTTGTCGAAAAAATAATTTCTCGGCAGAAGAACAAAAAATCATTTGCTACTAAAAATTTTAAACTAGTTAATTTTTAAAAATATTTACTAAACTATTTTTTAAACTTGTTAATTTCTAAAAATATTTTCTAAAATATTTTTTTTAATATTTTAATTTTTATTAATATATAATTCTAATTTTTTAGCAATTCTAATTTATAATTCAAAGTCTCAGCTTTTTTTAAGTATACCAGTAGTTGAAAGCAGAAGTTAATTTCTGTTCAGTAATTAATAATTAGAAAATTAATAATGAGCTCAAAATTATTGATTTAAACTAAAAATCGAAATACATTTCTTTTTACTGAATTCAATAATTAATTTTCATAATTATTATTTTACGCTCATTCTGATGTTGGATTCGAAGTCCTTAACCCTATTTTAGTAGAAAAGTAGTACCATATCTTTAGAGTTTACTTACAAAAAAAATTCAAAATTTTTTTTAAAAATCAAAATTTCGATTTTTGAAATTTTAGACTCCACTCAGCAGTTTTGTGAATTTTTTAACTCCCAAAATTAGTTTCTAAAGAAGAAATTTACATTTCTTTGTTCGATTAAACTAAAAAACTTTCCAAGTCTGATATATTCTAAATTTTCAAAAATCAAAATTTTGATTCTAAAAATATTTTGATTTTTTTTCTTGAATAAACTCTATCGACATGGTACTACTTTTCTACTAAAATAACGTTAAGGATTTCAAATCTAACATCAAAATTCTTCGAAATTTAAGTTCCACTGATTCAGACTGATAATAGGTCGAATTTCACCAATTCAGTTCTAGAGAGACACTTTTAGAGACTATAAAGTAAATAACTAATGCACAAAAAATATTAAAATTCAACAAATAGTTACAAATTTTTCTTTTTCAAAGAGTATGAAATGGTAAAACGTCCCTTTTTCTCAATAGATCGTAAAGAAAAAAAAATTCGAGAAAATAATTACTTAAAATAAATCCATAAAATCGATACGAATAGAAAATTTCCGAAGCGTATGAAAAGTCAGTTCGGTTCGTGTGTTCCGTACAAAACGAAAATCTGTCGGACTATAGATATGCAATTATTTAAAACAGCAATCACGGAAATGAAAGTGGATAACTGAAGGGGTGGAGGGAGAGAGTGGGGGGAGATAGATAGGGGTACAGAAATATTTGGTTGAATTTTTCATGCGGAAAAATTCTCTAAAGATTTTTCCACCTCAGATGGCAGCAATGCAAAACCTAAAATCAAACACGAAGGACGTTCCTCTCGTTTTTGCCAAATATATACATATAATGCATAAAGGTAATGAATGCACGAGTTTTCGATTCGAATATAAATATATATATAGTAGTGTACTATGTATATTTGTACTATATACATGTTTAGTAGTGTAAAGTACTCTAGGTGCTTGGACTGAGCTTTGATGACGATGGAAGCCATGAAAATGTAACAATTGGAACATCCGGTGATGGTTATCGTGACTTGCCATCATGTAGATTAAATTAAATCATTAAGCGCGAAACAGGATGACGATGTGTGGTTTATACTGGGCCGCTTTTTTGTTTCAATTGCTAGTTAACGCGCTGAGACTTGAGCTCTGCGCTTTGTTAAACACAAACATGATTTATTCCTCTGCAATCAACTTATTTCAGATATTAAATCTAATCATAACCTTTACATATGTTTCTTTAAGTGCTCAATTATTTTTATTTCTTTACATTCATCTTTTCATTATATTCGCATTCATATTTTTTTCAAGTTTTCTTTCTCTTTTATTTTTGAAGAAACTTATCAAATTTACATTATAGCCAAAGGTAAAATTTCGATCAAAACGATTCAGGTAAATTTAAAATTTACGTTAGTTAAAAATTTACGTTAGTCTGAAAACTGCTAATAATTTGCTAATTTGTTTACTAATGACTAAATTCGTTAAAAATTTAGTCATTAGTAAATAAATTAGCAAATTCGTAACGAATTTAGTAACGTTAGGAACAAAAAATTATTTTAACCAAATCCCCTATTTAAAATAAATTTAATTCTTGGGAAATTTTTGAGTTCAATCTAACGAGGAACTGTAAAGATCCAACAGAATTCTGATGTTAGATTTGCAATCCTCAACCTTATTTTAGTAGAAAAGTAGTACCCTATCGATGGAGTTGACTAAAAAATTCAAAATTATTTTGAGATTCAAAATTTTGAATTTTTGAATTTTAAACCAGACTTGGAAAATTTCTGAGCTAAATCTAACAAAGAAATATAAATTTTTTCTCCAGAAACTAATTTTGAGAGTTAAACAATTCTCAAGACTACTGAGTGGAGTATAAAATTTCAAAAATCAAAATTTTGATTCTCAAAAAAATTTTGAATTTTTTTTGTAAGTAAACTCTAACGACATGGTACTGCTTTTCGACTAAAATAAGGTTGAGGATTTCGAATCCAACATCAGAATGACCGCAAATCTTTTACATCACCGTTTTATTGTATTTTTCAACTCTAAAAATGAGTTAATTTCAGTTCCTTATTTTTTACACTGTACGGAAAGTTTTTAGATTTTTATCAGAAGGCTTTAAAGAATTTTCTTAGTTAAGATCGGTATGTAAGAATCCTTCTATATTGGATATATGAAAGTATATTTTTTTCCTTGCTTTTTTTTGCTTCTTTTTGAAGAAAATATTTCCAAGAGCCGTGGAATATGGTCGTTTAGAGGATAATCGTTTCAAAGGGCTTAATTTCAAGGCGGCTGAAGGTATACGATTATAAACGCAACCCTCTGGATATAAATGCGGACAAAACGAAATAGAACTGCATATAACCGATCTCGTAAATCACGCTTGGCGATGCGTGCCCTGCAAAAGTGTCGGTATCATATATGCGAGTGCACTATTTTACACAATGATCACCCGTAGGCTGCTGCAATTTTATCATCGTATTTTATTGTAATATATATATATATATATTTTTTTTTATACACTGTAATATATACATATATATACTTACAAATACACATTTGACGTTATATCATTCCGCGGGCGTATACAAAATGTGTCGCCTGCCAAGATATGAACCTCGCATGACTCGCAAAAACTCGTATATGGATTTACGAATGACCAATTCTGAAAATAAGCCCTCTCACGCCCTCGACTTCCGTTTTTCGTATTTTTATATATTTGAAAGTGCCTTTCCCCCCTTTAAAAAAAAACCTTCTGTTCAAAAAATATTCGCCATATTTAACCTACTTTTCGCATATTTTATCGAGTGCATGAAAATGCGGTGAGAAAAAGAAACTGATAAAAAAACTTCACTGAAACAAACTGTTAAATTACAATTACAATTTATTTGTTGGAATAAAGTATAGTTTTGTTGATTTAAATAAAAGTTTGGTTCATTTTTATAATTAGCATTCATTTGACAATGTAAAAAAAAAATTAAAAATATATTTCTTTATATATACTATTTTATTTATATTATTATCTATTTTTGTTTATATACAAAATAAAAAATTTCAAACCAAAAATTAAAATTGTAAGCTCTCTTTGAGGCAGGTGATCATTTTTGTTCGAAAAATATTTTTAAAAAACGCTTAAATGTAACACGAGACAATTTTATTTCCCTTTGTATACGTTTTATAAATTTTATACATTTCTTACATTTTGTACATAACACTCCATATATTTTATACACTTTATACATTTTATTTATACAAACGTCGAAAATCGATCGATTAAACCCTAAACGAAAAAATTTATCGAAAGATAAACAAAAGCGTTTAAAAAGGAGGGTTTTTTTTCAGAACTAACATTTGATCCCTTATTAAAAGTTCCCTCGCGAAATTTTTCACTGGCATTGAATAAAATTGAATTCCCAAACTCGCGCTCCCTGTGTGTGTATGTGTATGTACATGGGGGAGGGAGGGGGGATCAAAAAGTTTGATCCGGCAACATTGGGAAAATGGTTCTCTCTTTTTTTTCAAAGAGCCTGTCTGTATATATATAAATTTGAGAGTGTATACACTTGGTATTGGATATTTTTTAACAAGCTGCGTGGGGAAAATATCATGTTTCTGTAAAGCTGACTTTCTCTCTTGCTCTCTCCTCACTCGTTTCAGCTAAGACACCCTTGGACCTATGAGTTCGCCCCCATAAAACGATCGATCGCCCCCTCCCACCCACCCCCTTTGCTTTTAAAACCACCCTTCACCATTGTTTCCAACACCCCAAGGCAAAAGAAAGTGAGAGAGAGAGAGAAGAGTGAAAAAAAGCTTAGAAGAGTTTCTGGAGAAAAATTTACATTTCGTTTCGAAGTAACCTTCAGTTTACCCTATAGGAAAAGGCCCCTGACGTTATATACGTGATAATGCGAAGGCGGTCAGGGAAGGAAAAACTTTATTTAGAAAACGTCGACGGCGAAAACCGCTTCTTTTGTATCCTTCGGGCTATTGCAAATAAACGAGTTTGGGTAATCTTCCAAGA